TAACCGCCTCCCGGTTAGCTCAATGGATAGAGCGCTGGACTGTTGTGCGGGAGGTCGAGGGTTCGAGCCCCGGCCGGACCAACACTCAGGGTCTTAAAATAATTGAGAAGAATTTGCTGCCTTTCTATAACCTCAAGAAATGGTTAGATATTCTAGTCTTCTCGGATAGGGACGAATAAATGGAGGTCCCGTCTCCTGCAGGGTTGGGGTAGGAGACGTTAATTTCCCACACACGAGATTACTGTGTGATGGATGTCCTCCCCTGGGGTGGGATGGGTGGGATATACAGGGCCGTTCTGAAAACCACTTCTGTGAGAACGCACCCTGTCTAAAGATTATTATCTATCTATCTATCTATCTATCTATCTAAAGAGGACACAGTGGAGGGCACGTACATCTTCCAAAGTATCGTGTGCGTTGAAATCTTCATAAAAAGCAGCTTGATACACAGAAGGGTGATTTCTTTTACATGGTTTTCCACTATTCACAGGGCGATAACGGACTCGTCCCGTACAGCCTGATTTTTTTCAGGTCTGATTTTCGCTATTGCTTAAATAGCGCTATCTACTGCGAGGATCGTGCCATATGTATCTAATACCGCAGTACAAAATATATGAACTTCATATATTTCTTTCTATCTCGCATGGTTTTCCGTCAGGATTGAAAAGAGCGTTACCACCTTTGGCGAGTGTTTTGATGAGTGTAAGGCTATCGACGAAAAACACTTTCTTCGACGATAAAGTTTCTTTACTTTGACTTTCCAGCACATCGTAGGAGTGTAGGAGTGTCGAACAAAGAAGAATTATGGCCAATTAAAACGGTGTGATAATGCGTACTGCTAGAAAGGAAAGTGGTAAAAGATTGAAGACATTCGCTCAGGAGTGTACTGGAACATTCTCTTTAAGCAAAGTTCTCTCACCATTCATAGTTTTGACAGTGACTTGTTTACACGAGAAGCGTAGCTGCTGATATTGCAGGTAGGTAGCACCTATTTAGTGTTCCGGAAACCAGCCACGATATGGGAAAATTGCTCCGACGATCGCGATCGTGTTTGCGACCGGATTCACGCGTATTTTGGTCACTTGAGAGTGTTTTAGCTTTCCGTTTTTGAAACACACTACAAATAAAGTTAGAGGAAATTGTTGGCAGCTTACCTAGAGGCGTAAAATATAGTCTACCAGGCAGATGAAAAAATGATTCTGGCCTAAGCGCGGTGGCCATGTTTGTTTGTTTGTGTTTTTTTGCAACTTTCAAAAGTCCCGGGTAAATTAGAACCCAGTCCGCGCGCGTCAAAGAAACTATATCCAGCCTCCTTAACTAAAAAAAGGCTCGGGCTTTGTCTCACGAGTAAAACTGGTGCCGTTTTCTTCACGTTCATGTATTATTCGAAACAAATGGCGTCAACTGTATTCTGTCCTGTTCATTTCAGCAGAATGCTTTGCCTTGCGAAATAAATTTTGAGACGAAGTGCACAATGAATTTAAAACCAGCTTAGTTATATTTCACTTTGCCTATGTGTCGGGATCTTGAAGTTCTTATTTCTCGAGATTGATGACCATTGATGATAGGAATTAACTATTATGTTCTCTTCTGTTTAAGGTAATGTGAAGTGACCCAATAATTGGTACTATAGATAGAATGGATGGCTGTGACATTTACTGTGGCTAGCTGTTATTCAAGAGTTTGTCATTATTCCCAGAAGCTTACTTCTTCTTTAAATTATCAGTCTTTTGTTCTCTGTACACAACTTGCCTAGACTAATATGCTCTATAGGAGTTATGTCTACTCTATTTGTAACGGTGAAATTACCATTAAAGTTTTCAGAAGTTTTGTCCAGATTTCAGTGAAAATGATTGTGAGTAGTGAATAGTTATATTCCTTAAGTGTTTAAGCTTCCAGAATGAGAGCTAATAAATTTCTTGAGTGATTCATACATGATTTGTCTCCTGTAAAATTGACACAGCCAAACCCCCCTAGCAAATGTCTATAATTTCTTTAAATAGCAGTAAGGTTGGTGCCCATTACCACTTAATGTGCAGTATCAAATTCTCCTTTTGACTTCAGTCTTATTTCTCTAAAATCTAATAGGAGTAAATCATACATTTTCATAAAGAGGTCAACAAAACTCTCCTCATTATTTTAATCTGACTTCATTCAGTCTTGTTCCCAGGGCATACAAGTCTTGGGAAATATAATTTGGTTTTTGTCTGCACTGAAACTATCAGCTGTACAAAAAACAATAAAAACACTAATGTGGCCTTGAATTACTGTAAAATAGTGTAGAAGTCGAGCTTTCACCGCTCAACGGCATCGTCAGGGACGGATAAGATAAAATATTCCACGAGGGCCGAATAAAAGGGAGAGAAGTGTCACTATACTACTGTCGAT